TATTTCCAAATCAAGACTCTTGGTTTCCTGATCACAGTGATATTGTGAAGATATGATGATACATAGTTGCACATCTTGTCAATACACTGGATCCTTGATTCGAAATTCTAATCTACGTCAGTTTGATTTAACGTTACAACAGATAATGATCCTTAAGAAAGACGACAATTTGATTAATTTTGTTTAAGATTGAATGTTATAATTTTGTTGTTAACTATTGAAAAGGATCATTTTGAAATGATCGAAACATTTAATTTTTTAGTATTTGAAATAATAAATAATATTTAAACATAAAAGATCCAGTGTAGTTTTCTTGCTTTAAACAATTAAATTGAATAATTCAATTGCGTTATATATTGTCATCAATTTTTTTTACAAAATTCATGTTTTTTTTTTGAAAATTTCGACAGAAATATGTTTTAAAAAGCTGCTTTAAAAAGCATGTAATATGTAAATTGTATAATATCTTTGAATTAAAGATGGATTTACACGTTTTCTGTTTACAAGATGAATATATTAATATATTCATTATTGAATATATTAATGGTATTATATTAGTTCTATATGTATATGTATACAAAAACAAACAGTATATATTTACAAAAGGTTAGCATCTTAAAAAATATGTTGTCAAGATCATTAATTTTTTAAGATACTGTTCTCTAAGATGTAACGATTTTCTAAGCAGGGAACGTGATGTGGACCTCGCTTGGCGAAGAAAGTCGGACGTTCCTTGACAAGGATGGAGGAGGTAGGACTTCGCTTTGCATGGAAAGTCATTACATAAAGAGAGGAGGGTAAAATAGTTCTTAACATTGTAGTTCTTGATAACATTATAACACAAATAAGATATTTTTTAAAGTTTTTTTGTTAATAACTTTTTAAAGTAGTTCTTTAGATCGAATTACACTAGAAATGTTTAATTTTTTTATATAATAAAATTGAAGGATAATTTACGTGTGTAAATTTCTACGGTAGATTAACGATGAAATAAGAGAGAAAAAAAATTGAAAAGCTAACCTTTTACGTATAACTTAGTGACAGATAGGGCTTTTTTTTAGACATTTTTTTAACTAACTGCACACAAATCTTATCATAGACTTTCCTCAAGAACGAGATTATAATAGTTTAAAAAATTAATTAAATTATTATAATGATCACAAAAAAAGTTATATCAGTCATTATGGAAAAATATTTACGTGCATAAACTTGCATATTTTACCTCAAAAAATAAGCATAATCTCATCCTGTTTTCGTTCAATGAAGATGCAACTCTTGATTTACTATCAGCAGCAACATGTATCATACTATTTCTCATTAAGATGTACACGTAGTTTTAATATTTTATCCAAATTATACAGATATTTGTAATTTTGGATGAGCCCTAGATCTGTATTTTGTAACTCTTTATGCAGTCATTATGAACTCATTGAGAACGAGTGTGGCAGAGTAGATAGTGCACTGGTCTGCTACACTAGAGATCCCGGGTTTGATTCCTAGTAAAACCAAAATATTTTCATATACTCTCCTCTCGGAAAGAAACGGCAATCCACCGAGAGTATTCTTGTCAAGAACACTTCTCTAAACAAAACCTTCGTCATTCGGAATCGACATTAAACTATAGATCCCATATGAACTATATGTACAACCATCGCGCACCACAGGCATATGATATGAGAGCATCACACGAGCAACAGGACTAAAGAAGATGAACTCATAACGATAGTTGCGCAACTTTTTTATGATATAAAATATCTGTGCAACTGTCGTTATAAGTACATAACGATTGCATAACGAGTTACAGTTGCGCTGCTGGTGAGATACCTTAAATTTTCGACACTTTACTAAAGAACCATCTTAATGAATAACAAATGATGGCTAAGGGTGTCGTCGCTTGTTATTCAGTTAATTCGCAAATCGCAATATGTAGTTCGCAAATAATAATGCAGAAAGACGATCACCATACGCAAGCACACACGGACAAAAACTAACTGAAAAAATAAATACAATGAAAAAATAAATGCAAATCTTCATTCTGCGTCTACATTTGCGAACTACATTTTGCGATTTGCGAATTGTGTAGAATATTGTAGAAGTATCTTAAAATCTATTGGAGGTCATTGAAAGTGATTACCTTGACAACATACACTGCTGTCGAAAAGTTTCCAGATATGGAACTTAAAATTGCATAATATCCAGATCATCGTAACTCGGTACAAAAATTATCGCTAACAAAAAAAAGCACTTTTAAAGCTTGAAACTTATACAGGGTGTGTCATCAAAATCCGGACAAATTTAAATTTAAATTTTCCGTTATATTGTGCCTCTGCCAGAGATTGTTGTTGGCGTCTGAGAAAACCTGATGCTTTTAATGAACAGTCATATTCTCAAAATGGTCGCGATGTTGAAACCAAGTGCGGAATATAATCGAAGAGCCGCGATCGTCGAAGGCCTTTGCGCTGGGTGCTCAGCAACGAAAATAATTCGGTTCTTTGGATACCCGAGATCAACCGTTTATGATATTGTGGCAAAATATACGGCTTTAGAACAGTCCAACGAAGATTCCAGTATACCAGCGAGGAAGAGTCACTCGAAAGAACGCACCGCGAGGACCTCCGCAGTCGTTGAAAGGGCTCAAATGGCGCTGATTTCGGATGACCCAGGCAATCGTTGCGAAAATTAGCATTGTTGGTGTAAGCAAGCCAACAATGCGTCGAATTGCCGAGGAGGACCTTCGATATAAATCGTACACATTAAAGATATGACAGATGCTCTGCCAGGACAAGCGGAGTTGCTTGCCTCGGTCCCATTCTGGCCTCCCAACAGCTCAGATTTAAATCCCTTGGATTACTATGTATGGAGCGTAGTTGAAAGGGTCACAAACAAATCTCAGCATCTTAATGTGATTAAGAATCATTATTGAGGCAGCATTCGTCGGCATGGACAGCGTTACATTACAGCGTGCGTGCGAACGCTTCAGACCGAGAATAGAGGCGTCATTCAAGCTAATGGAGGATATATCGAATAATTATGCTCTATAGGGATCCCTCAAGTGTTATGTAAAAGGATTTTTTTGTAATATTTAATTTTTCATTAAAAACATTTTGTTTAAAAAACATTTTGTTTTGTTCGATTTGTTCGGATTTTGGTGACGCACCCTGTACTTTAGCATGCTTTTGACCACTTTTTGAAAAAATGTTGTCTTTACGATTCTGTATCTTAATAAATATCATGTTGTATTTTTTAAAATTACATATATATTTAACAGTGCAGAGTTTGATAAAAAGTTTTTCTTTTAAAAAGTTCAATATTTTGGAAAAACAGTACAAAGATTTACCTCCAAATAAAATTTTTTAAAAATTTTCTTATAATTTTTCTTGACTTACACGTCATTGAAGCTAAACCTGCATAGCTCACAATTAATTAAAATTAAACCATAATTAAAAATTAACACCATAATTAAAATTTGGTGAAATACCATCGTAAAAAATTAAAGATGTATTTTGAAGCTCGAAGTTCGTACTTTAAGCTTCTGATCGTTTTTAATGTGATGATTTTTTATCAAATTTTACCGTTGATTATTTAACAATGCAGCTTTAGTTTCAATATTGCGTAATTTAATCAAGAAAAATCGTAAGAAAATACAACAACGTATTTATTAAGATACAGAATTGTAAAGACAAAATTTTTTCGAAAAGCGGTTAAAAGCATGCTATAGTATAAATTTCAGCTTTAAAATGCTTTTTTATTTTTTTGTCTGCGATGATTTTTTACCGATGACTTGAATATTATGTAATTTTAAGTTCCATGTCCGGAAACTTTTCGACGATGTTAAGGTCATTAATTCTTGAAGGTGCTGTCCTTTTATGAAAAAATGTCTACCGAAAAAACTTGATTGTTTTGATTTTTTGATGTATCGATTATAAAAGAATATAAAATGTACATTTGACATACATTGTACATACACTCTTAGTCTCGAAACGCATATCTGTTAATCCTCAAATCTAAATTGTCTTGATTCAATTTCGGTTAGTCAGTTGACGATACATAGATACATTTTACAAAATATCTGCAAATTTTGTTAATAGATTGCTGATAGAAATACAATCTTGGTCACAAATATAAAGCATAGATTGATGTAAATATCTATATGTAACAAAAAGTAAATAAAAAAGTTTTAAAATTAAAAAATAATATATATTCTTTAATTTAAAAAATAATACATATTTTACAACAATTTTAATATTTTATTTGGCTTTTATTGCCGTTTTTTTTTAATGAAAATGCCATAAATTTAGTATACTTTATAATTTATGGCTAAGATTGTACAATGGAATTTGCTAACAGAATATTATGGCAAATTGATTATAATAAACTGCCTTTTTGTAAGTATTTTAATGATTCCTGATTTAAAACGTTCCATTTAAATAATTATGAAATGATAGATTCTGTACTTCCGTTAGCAAGTCTGCTGTCTGATTACGTCGACAGACGTTTCTCTTCTAGCAGAACATGGCTTTAATGCGGGCGCTGCAGTTGATGTCAATCTGCCGTAATATTGTTCGAATCCACTGGTAAACTGCTAGCATTCTAGTAACATTTTGTTTGCTAGAAATTCTGAGAAAAATATTGATTAACATTTAATTTAATATTAATGTTTGACAGAAATATTGTTTGATAGTTACATTCAATTTTTTATATGAAAACGTTTGTCAAAAATTGTAAAATGCATCATGATCTTATCGACAAATAGTCTTTGCTCATATGTTACATCAATAAAAACGAAGTTTTCCGGAAAATAAGTTTGAATATTTTAAATCATTATAACTTTGGAATTTTGATATAATAATTGATCGTAGAGAAATAAAAGTATTTATATTTCTCTAAAATTTATTTTATCTCTTTTTTCTTTGTTTTCGTTTTTTTTCTGCAAGTAAGCAATGATATTTTTTTTAGTTATGTTGTAGCAAGTGAGCGATTTAATATGAAATTTCACTCACCATGCATTCGCCGCTTATGCACACGTCCGTGCCCTCCGCGTAACATTTTGTGCCGTCCTCCACCTTATCCGCTAGTTCCACCACTATCGTTTCGTCGCTGTCAAATAGCAGGCTATCCGTAGAATCGCGCGGCATCGTCTTCTCGCCCGACGGCACTTCCTGTCGCGACCGTCTAACGTTATTCTCGAGGGTTTGCTCGCCGCGGCAGATCAAAGCGCATGGCCTAGCCGGGTCGTAATGGGGATACCATTTGAGCAGTTGCCCGCTGTATGGCACATTGTTGAAGGCGGCGCATTGTACCGAGCGAAAATCACTCGATTTCTCGCAGGGCTGAAATCACAGAAAAGAGAGAATCCGTTGTCAGGCACGGGCTCATTAAACGCTTCTACGACGTCGTTACGTTGCTACAAGTGCTTTCGAGAAATCCGTCGCTTCACAGCAACGAGCGATCTAAATTTTTAACATCAGGACTAGATTGTTCGTGAAGGTCCTATTCTCGTATTTCACAGATAATTTGGTAATCTATATTTCTTCCAAGTAGTTCAACAATAAATCATCATTAGATCTGTTTTTTATTTCTGATGCATTAGACTGCATTAGAACTTTTTCGTTTTTATTAAATACCAAACACCTATCTCATTGTAAGTTTCAAAATACTAGTTTAGCCACAGAAAATAGACCTATTGTATAATTAGTTCCATTGATTTCAACATAGTTACTGTTTCTCAACACACTTGAATGATATTTCTTACGGATTTTTAATTGAAAAAGAATATAAGGTTAAAAAAATTCCATTACTTACAGATTTTGAAAAAATAAGTTTATTTTTAAAAAAATTAAAATTTAAACAATTTTAAAGTTTTTTTTATCTTACGGAGTAATATATAAGAATCACTACTTGGAGTTTTGAAAACAGAAATTTTGTAAATTTTATTATTTTCATATATCATTTACAATTCTACATAAATAATAAAAAAGGGAATTCATAGTATCTCATTTATTTTCATATATTGTAAAAAATATTTAATTATCTTATAGCTACATATTACGAATTTACTTTTATCAGATAAGAAATTCAAAGCGAAATTTTTAAAAATTGTTTGGTGGTGAAATTGTTTAAAAAGTATATATATTATTAATATATTATTATTAATATCATTATTTATAATTAAGAACTCTTCGAAATAAACATTTTACCAGATATTCTGATTTGATAACTCACACACAGAACACATACTTCAAATAATAATTTTTTATATCCGACTATCGAAATATGTATTCTGTCAAATGCAATAGATGGTTAATGATTTTATTCAAGGATGATTACTTCTGAATTTACTCAATATATCTCTGCTTCTCAACAGAAAACACCTCGTTTATATTGTATTAAAAATTATTATAATGCTCAATATTTAAATTTGCTAACACTTCTTTGTATTACTGAAGATGACCTAAATTGTGATCAAAACGCCTGTAATTGTTGATAACAATGCAAATTTTATATATTACTATCTAGTGTCGACTTACATTGTTTGCATCTTTGACTTACAGAAAGCATATAAAAACAATAAGATAATAGGAAAGGGCAACAGGAGTCACGGAAATTGGTGCGCAAAAATACAAAATGAATTGCAAAATTAATTTAATTTATAAAGCTATCTCCACATAATTCGCAAATCGCAAATGCTAACATAGAATGACGATCATCGCACGTAAAATATACACAGATAAAAATCAACCGCTATTTTAAAACATTAACATTTTAATTTATGTCAGGTTAAAGAAACTTACTATTTTTCTGATATTTTGCGTATCACAAAAATTTATAAAAAGGATGGCTCTTTGCTGATAAATGAGCAAATACAAAATTCATTTCCACTATTCTTTGCTTTTCTGTCATTGATCAACGCAGTCGTCGCAGCATAAAAATTAACGTGACAATTCAGTTCAGTCTATATAAATCACTATGTAGATCGCTATTCACAAAACGCAAATTTTTATTTTGTATCTGCATTTGCGAACTACTTTTTACGAATTATGTAGCTTTAAATTTTTATGTACTTATATGTTACGATTCATTTTGAGCCTTCTTCAGAGCATAGAAAAATATCTAATCGTAAGAATATTTAAATTATTTTAAATCACATATGTCGAACAAGTTATATTTCCATCATGGAGTTAGAAGACCATATATAAAAAAGAGCTCTAGGTGTGCTAGTAGTGTCCTTAGTCCGAATAAATTCTCGAAAACTTTGGGAAAAAAATTTATTTTGGTTTTTTCCTTTACCATACTTTTCCTTACCACACTTTTCTATTAAGATAATTAAATTTTTTTGTTGTCCTTTATGTCAATGATTTCATTGAATTAAATTTCTTTATTATATTTAAGAATTCTAATAAGTGAATCATTAATGAAATAAAGTTCCCTATTACGATCATTTATAAAAATTTTTTTAGAATTTATGAATAAATTTTTCTCTCTCTCTCTTTCTTGGTAAGGACATTGAATATTAATTAAAAAAAGAAACTATATATTGTACATAATACTGTAACATAAATTTATTACTTTATACATGTGTTAATAAATGCATAAACGGAGACAATTCTATTTTTTTTATGTAAGATGCTTTGGTTTAAAATAATTTAAAGCAACAATTCTGTCATTAAATTAAAATATGGGCGAATAAGAATCTATTATTAAAAGAATTTTTTTGGTAAAACATGGAAAAAATTGAGTTTTTTTTTTAATTTTATTTTTTTGGAAAATTAAGAATACTATGTGCTAGTGATAAAATAATGTAAACTGTAAATAAGCCGGAATAAATCTTTAAATAAAAAGAACGTAACTCACTAGCGGTGTACTATACGGGATCGACATCGTAAAATAAACCAAGAGCGTATAAGAAAGGTAGTCTACATATAAGAAACATATACCTTTTCAGTATAAAAAATTCTACAAGAAACATCTATTATTACTTGTTGAAACATAAAATGTTGATAAAAATTTATTATGTTTTCTTAATTTCGGAAATGTTTTAATTTAGAAATATTTCTAAAATAATTTTTATGAGATCTTATTATGATAAATTCTCTTGCCGTTCTTTGAAAGTTCTTTCAATGACAAAAAGAATGCTTTCTTGTCATTTTAATAACTCAATGTAATATGGAGTAAAAGTATTTTGTATGGTGTTTTGTATATATCACGTCAAAATCACTGTATGGAGACTAACAAAGTTTCTCAATTCCGGGGAGCTAATTACAACAAAATCATTTTCCATTTATACTTTTCAAACTCGAGTTTGAGATATGGAATCCAAAGTAAAGAATCGACGTCTGAGAGCCGGAAGTTACCATCGCAAAAGTGCCCGCTAATTATCGTTATAATTAACCATTCTATAGTTGGACCGCGATATCTCCAGGGTATTTCTATCGACATTTTCGCCTCCGCGAATTTACCTCACTTTTCTCAAAGTTAACGAAGAGTGTAAGTTCGCTATAGAGAAACGTTCATTATCTTCCAACCCCTCGACTTCTTACTTATCTTATTCGTATCGTGTTTTCCGTTTCTCGTCACTGTGACAAGGGAACAATTCCCGAAATTCGATTCATCAATATTTGAATGTATAACAATGCGAAATATCACTTTACCAAAATAATTATTATATTTTAGTATTCTATACAAAACTATCATGTTCATTAACAATATTCATCAACATTATCATTATTATTGCCGTAATAATATGATATAATTATTATTAAATAAAAAATTGTATTATATAATGGTAATTTAATATAATGTAAATAATTTTTGAACTTATTAAAGTGAACCACGCAGTTTATGTGTACATATATGACGAATTAGTAACGAATTATTTTAAGATCCAGTTCTATAATTCATAGTTAACTCTTAAGTCAAGAAAATTGGAAAGAGATTAGAAATAAATTAAATCCTACTAAGAATCAATCGTGAGATGTAGAATTGGATTAATAGATAATTCATCACTGATTATATATGTATATATTTTATATATATGTGCATATATACATATACATATATATATATATATATAAACTATATATGAACTACGTAATACTTTAATGTAGTCTAAAAAATTATTCAAAAATTAGAAATGAAGAATAAATTGAATGTTAGTTAAGTATTAATTGTAAATTATGAAACTGAATCTAAATGTATTAATCTCATGCTTAACGCCATGCGTACAATTGCGTTAAAAAATTGATTCCTATCTAAAATTATAAAGAGCTAATTAAATAAGAGAATTGCTATATTTCTAAATTCCTATATTAATCAAAACTTAAATCTTAGTGTTTAAATATTTCTGTGGGAATTTAAATCCACAGAAAAGATTTCTGTATTCAATGCTATTACTTCTCGATCTAGAATAAAATAAGATTGATCAAGATAGAGCCAATCGTATTTATTCTTAAGAAAAGAATATTTCTTGTTAAATGAAAAATTCTAAAATCTAGAATAAAATATTCTTAATACTATTCCATTAAGGAGATCCTAAAATCGTCTGTGATTAGACGCAATAATTTTTGTATAACAATTACTTTTTTCTTCGTTTATAAATTTGAAAATCATTTTCCAGGATTAAACATATATATTAATACGCGTCTGTGAGATGGAGTTTATGTCAAGAACGAAAAAAAAATTGTTTAAATTGAGATCTTTATCATTTCTTAGTCCAATGTGCGTTAGAACTGTCAATATTATAATAACATTTGCATGACATAAAAACTTTGCAATCTGTATTTACGAAATTGTGTGTGTCTACAGACACATAGTTCGCATGAATAAACAATGTCGAGTTCTTAGAATTAGATTTAGATATTTTATCGTGACGAATTTATTATACGAAAATTGACACGAACGTGCGACTGCGTGTATCATAGACTTCTGTTACTAGACAGCCTCACAGGGAGATGGTGACAAATTGTATTACGTGATCCGGTCTCCTTTGATTGGACCTGGTCGTCAAGCTCCGTAGAGCCATGGTGGGGGTATGCTGTTTAGATTAGATGACTGCAAAAGCAGTACGCTTATCATTTTGTGCTGCAATTTTCTCCTCAATTTTACAATTGATAAGGTCTTTGTAAGTGATATGTATTATTAATCTTGGAGAGAAATATATACCTTCCTCTATTGTACATATTCACATGAAATAAAATTATGAACATTTCAGATATTTGAACAGGATTTGTGCATATTATAAAATGCTTGCTAGATGCAGTGCTCCAAAACTCTAATAAAGAAGGATATTGCTGCACAACATTTGCCATCCAAACTTGAGACAAAAATGAATTGA